TGGTGTTTTGGTTGTTTGTTCATTTTCATTCTATTGCTGCTTAAGTTGTTTATACCCATTGCTACTTTAATTGTTTGTTCATATTTATTTTGTTGCCGTTTAAATTATTTGTTCACATTTATTTTATTGCTGTTTAAACTGTTTATACATATTTATTTTATTGGTGTTTTAGTTGTTTGTTCATTTTTATTTTATTGCTGCTTAAGTTGCTTATACCCATTGCTACTTTACTTGTTTGTTCATATTTATTCTGTTGCTGTTTAAATTATTTGTTCATACTTATTTTATTGCTTCTGAAATTGTTTAATGTGCTTTAATATACTTTCTAAAATAATAATATCAATATAATTTTCACATTTTGTTGTTGATGTGCATGAAATGTATTTTTGTATTTTGTATAGTGCATACTTTTTCATTGAGAAAATGAAATGTATTGATTTTCTCATGGTTGATATTCATCAAATTTTCCTGTTGATTCTCATAAAATCATCTACACATTTTTACATATGTTTCATACTCCACATTTTCTACTGTTAACATTTTGATGCCAACATTTATGAAACCTACGTGATTCTTTTTTATACGTTGTGTACATTTTTCATATTTCATCGTTGATGTTAATATCGATCCCCTTTCATATTTTGTACATTTCATATCTTATATCTTTCACATATTTATTCCAATATTTACGAAATTTTCCATATATTGATTTTTTATCATACTCCGACGTTCATCATTTACGAAAAAGCATTTTTCTATTTTTGCAAAGCTTTCAAAGCAAGATATTCTGTTTAACGAGTCATATTACGCTGTGCTTTTTATTTTCTCGTAACTGACAAATTCGGATTCGGATTATATTTATCCTATTTCCGCTAAACTAATCCGTTCATTACTTTTATTTTTCCTCTCATTCCATTCATATTCGCCTTATTGCCATAACTTATTTCATTTTATTATTGACCTACTTATCATTTTACTGCACACTATCTACTTCTTATAGCCCTATTGCAGCTCCTTTTATTTTCTCCTTCCTTTTCTGTTTCAACCCTCGTTCTTTTATTTTCTCGTTTTCTTTGACCACATTCGCAAACATTCATGTACACATAGTTCTTTTAGCATATTTTTATTTTACTGATATACTATTTTTGTTAATTATTGTAATTGTGTGGTTGCCTAATCATTTTTTAAAATTTTATATTAGTTTGATGTCTTTAAAAGAAATTTAAAGATAGAAACTTAATAAAATAGAAATTTAAAAACTCTGAAATTTAGAAATTTGATTATTAGAAATTTTCAAAGACAGAATTTAAAAAATTTGTAAATCTTGAAATTTTTATAGACAGAAATTCAAAAATTTGTAAATTTTGAAATTTTCAGACAGAAATTCGAAAAATTGTAAATCTTGAAATTTTTAGACAGTAATTAAAAAAATTGTAAATCTTGAAATTTTCAAACACAGAAATTAAAAAATTTGTAAATCTTGAAATTTTCAAACACAGAAATTAAAAAATTTGTAAATCTTGAAATTTTCAAACACAGAAATTAAAAAATTTGTAAATCTTGAAATTTTCAAACACAGAAATTAAAAAATTTGTAAATCTTGAAATTTTCAAAGACAGTAATTCAAAAATTTGTAAATCTTGAAATTTTCAAAGACAGAAATTCAAAAATATATAAATCTTGAAATTTTCAAAGACCGTAATTAAAATATTTGAAAATCTTGAAATTTTCAAAGACAGTAATTCAAAAATTTGTAAAGTTTGAAATTTTCAAAAACAGAAATTCAATAATTTGTAAATCTTGAAATTTGCAAACACAGAAATATAGAAACTTTCAGATATAGAAATTTAGAAATTTAGAATCTCTAAAGTTTAAAAATTTAGAAATTGGGAAACTAAAATTTTAATATCTCTAAAATTAAAAAATTTAGAAATTCTGTAACTAAAATTTCGAATCTCCAAAATTTAGAAATTTGGACATAGAAATTTAAAAACACAGAAACTCGAAAATTTTTAACTTTAAAATATCACTAAATTCTTCAAAGATTCCGAAATTTAAAAATTCTCTAATTTTTTCAAGTTAAATTCTGGAAATTTTCTAAATCTGCAAATTCTGCAAATATTACAAAAGTAGAAGCTTAAAGCAAGAATCACCTTCAATCAAATACAAAAACATTAATTTTTCAACGTTCCCCATTAAACATTACAAATATTTAAACTATTAAAAACCGTTTAAATAAAATTTAAATTAAAGTATTAAAAATGAAACGTCTTGCTATTCTCAGAAACTCGCAAGATTCAAAGATTATTTAAATCCCTTCAGATTCAGCACACGAGCATACGCGTGCAATAAATAAAGTACTTATGTAAATACACGTACGTACATTCGTATACATTTCCTCCTTAATGCAACCATCTCTTTGCATACACTGTACATTTTAACATATTCTAAACAATCTGATTGTTTCTTTACACAAAGCACACCGCTAGCATATTATGTTTTGCATACTTTGTTATAAATGCATAAAAATGTGCAGTTTACTAATAAATATGAAAGCTCCGCTGCTTCTCCACGACCATCAACGCAATTTATCGTCTACGTACTTTCAATTTATGCATTCATACTCGCGATTGAACCGCTGTATCAAATTAACACAGACCCGAAGAGAACTTCCATATTTAAAAGTTAAATCAACCGAATAAAACGTTCGAACTACGCTTGTTGTATCTATAATCACGCCACATAAAATGATTATATTAAGTTGACAACTAAATTCCCGATCTTTTCGCGTGTTTTGATTTAAAGCTGCTCGAATTTTATTGCACGGCCATCGAAAAATCACCGCAAATGTGACAAGAGATTATTGATTGCCGCGGTGCTTATTGTTGGCCTCATTCAAAAACTGTTTGTCGAATTTTAATAAATGATTTCGAGGGAAAAAGTAGAGTCGCGAATTTTATTACTCGTTTCACGTAATTTTGAGGGATGGACAAATTTTTATTGTACTTATGCAAATTTAGGGGGTTGATTTGAATATTTGGAGATTTCTGTGGCTGAGTTTTTTAAATTTTAGATTTTGAGAACTTATTTGAAAGCTGAGTGTTTGGAAATATAAATATTTGTAATTTTAGAATTTTGAAGATTTTAGGATTTTTGGAAATTTGGAAGCTTGTTAACTTGATATCTTTTAATTATGAGAGTTTGGACATTCATTGGGAGATTTGAACATTTGAAAATTTGAAAATACAAGTTTTTAAAGTGTAAAAATTTTGGGTTTGGATATTTGAAAATTTTTCAATTTATGACTTTGGAAGTTGGAAATTTTTGAATCTTAAAATCTGCAAACTTCTAAATCTACACATTTTCAATTCTCCAAATTTTCAGAACTCTACAGTTCCAATTTTCTAAATCTCTGAAGATCCAAATAGCTAAATCTCCAAATCTTTAAACGTCTAACTCTACAAATCTCCAAAACTCCAAATTTTTCAATCTTCAAATCTCCAAGTCACCAAATCTTCAAATCAACAAATTTCCAAACCTCTAAGTTTCCTAGCATCGAATCCTCATATCTTAATTTTGCTAAATCCTCAAATCTATAAATCTCCAAATTAACAAATTTCTATATTCTCTAATTTTCTAAACTCGAAGGCTCCATATTTTCATCTGCCCAAATCTTCAACTTTCTAAATTCTCAAGTTTTCTAAACTCCAAATCTCCATATTTCTATCAATCCAAATCTCCAAATCTCCAAGTCACCAAATGTTCAAATGTTCGAATGTCCAAATGTCCAAATCTCCACATCTCCAAATTCTTAAATCCCTAAATCTCCAAATTTCCAAATCCCTAAATCTCCAAATCTCCAAATCTCCAAATCTCCAAATCTCCAAATCTCCAAATCTCCAAATCTCCAAATCTCCAAATCTCCAAATCTCCAAATCTCCAAATCTCCAAATCTCCAAATCTCCAAATCTCCAAATCTCCAAATCTCCAAATCTCCAAATCTCCAAATCTCCAAATCTCCAAATCTCCAAATCTCCAAACTTTCAAATTCCTAAATCCCTAAATCTCCAAATCCCTAAATCCCCAAATCACCAAATCTCCAAATCACCAAATCACCAAATCTCCAAATTTCCAAATTTCCAAATCTCCAAATTTCCAAATTTCCAAATCCCTAAATCCCCAAATCACCAAATCTCCAAATCTCTAAATTCCCAAATCTCCAAATCACCAAATCGCCAAATCTCCAAATCTCCAAATTCCTAAATCTCTGAATCCCTGAATCCCTAAATCTCCAAATTCCTATATCCCTGAATCCCTAAATGTCCAAATCTCCAAATTCCTAAATCCCTAAATTTCCAAATCTCCAAATCTTCAAATCCCTAAATCCCTAAATCCCTAAATCTCCAAATTTCGAAACCTACAGACCTCAAAACCCATAAATTCCAAATTCCATAAATTCAGAAATCTATAAATATCAAAGTCCATAAATCTCATAACCCATAAATTATTTTTTTGAGAACTATATCTCACGTAAGTTTCATCAAAATCGGCGTGTGTCAGTTGGATATGTTCCCTTGTAAGTCCCTAAATCTCAAGCCCTCAAACTCTAAAAATTCCTAACCCCCAAAAAACCCACTATAAGTATAAAACCCGTCACTAATATTTCCTCCCAGTTAATATTAATTTCCAGCAGCAAACCTTATCGTCCGATTTAAAATGTTCACCATGGTCGTATCGCCCATAAAGTTGGTGTCGCTTAAAATTTGAAAGGCAGCCTCCCACGCGCTATAAACTTTCCGAACACGCTTCGAGAAGTAGCTACCCTCTTAAAAGCAGCTGCACCCTTTTTTTGCAAGTAGTTCGACAAATATCCAAAATCTTAGTAGAACGAGGCGAGGCGTCCGTGGCATCGCAAGCGTCCCAAGTAGTAAAGACACGAAAGAGACAAGGCACGTGGGGACCAGGACGCATGCGTGTCGTGTTGCTCCTGCAGGACTTCTCACGGCAAGTCAGTCTGCATCTGGACTCGGTCTCGCGTGCGTTTTCCGGCTGTGCGTGATAGTGACAAAACCGGGAACATCGACCATGACAATAACAAAACACCTGATAATCCTGTGGACTACGCTGACCATCGCCGCAGCCCTTCATCGATCACAGGGTGAGCGATTAATTGCACGACCCCGAATTTTTCAATAATTTTTCACGATTTTCAACTGTCGTACGCGTAACACTTTTATTCGAGTGATCGCACAATCAAATTGCGAATTGCCATTTTCGTTAGGTATTTTCGTTACACTACGTCGGTAATAGCCGCTACGTCAGTTACATAATTCTGACGGCATAGAAGTTTTCGCGATAGAAAATTGCGATGGTTTTTGCCGAATGAATTAACCCGGAATAGCAGCAAACAATGGAAGAACGTAACGGATAAACGGATTAAGGAATAAAGGATATTTGTTGTATACGTGTTCCTTGCACACCATTTATTATGATTATGCAAATCCCGCGTTGCCCGCTGCGCTCCGAAAGCTCCCCGTTAGAACACTTTCGATTAATTTTTTTTGGGTAAATCATTGCTACCATCTTAGCTTTGATTGATTCGGATAATTGGAAGTAGGGATTAGGATTATTATGCGATCTTGCGGATTTGGGAATTGTGACATGATTAATGTAGGGATTTTACGTAGATTTTTCGGTACATAATGAGGGTGCTAGGCAAACACGTGCTCCTGGAAGGACGTGCACTGATACGTGAACTACTCAAACGGAATAATTCATATATTCATGTATTCCGATCATATATTCTGATCTAAAATAGATACTTGAGAGGTATACACAAATCTTAGTCTTTTTATTCACTTATGTAGCTTCTCACGTATTTGAATACTTTTTATGGTGCTCTGGAAAATTATTAGCAGGTTTAATTTATTTTGGTTATACACTCGATGCACATTACACTTCAGATTTAAAAAACCAAAATTCTATTTGCAGTATGATTGAGTTTGGAATTTAATACTAATTATTATTTTTGACAATCAAGGAAAATCTACAATGTGCTTAATATTGTAATTTTTTTTTATTTGATTTAACGTTACAGTATTACTGACGCACCTGGTGCGTCAAGGGGTTAAACAATTTAAAATGACGCATTTTTTATTTTTAAATTACAGGAATTAAGATGTTTTTAATGATCGTATATTTTTATCTAAATTAGGTACTAGTTTGGTAATTATACACATAGTTCTGTTATTTATTTGGAGGTTATGTATTCAAGTATTTAAACACTGTGATTTTCATTTTTGTTGCTGCAAGAAAAAAATTGTTATAGTACTAGATTAAAATGACGTACCTTGGATTTCTTTTTTTTAAATTACAGAAATTAATCTAATAAGTTACCTGTGTTAACATTTTTTAAATGTAAACTAATTGTATAAATTACAATTGTGTTTCGACATTTACCTACTTATCGTTGTATTTTATTTTTAATTTGAAAGTGCATGGATGACGTCCTTAAATCTAATGTTAAATTCATGATATAAAGGTACAATTGATTACGGTATATTTGGAATCTGAATGAAGTAAATTGTGACGTAGAAATATCGGAAAATTCAAGTTGTCAATATCAGAGAAATCGAATAATCGTAAAATTAAATGATTAAGATACTTTTAAAATAGAATATTGTAACATTTAAAAATGCAGTAGTTTGTCAACTATGAAAAGTGTTACAATGTTTTTAAATTAGAAAAGTGGGAGAGTTTCAATGTTCATGAATTAGCAAAATGGAATAGGTACTATACTTTTAAACTTTATAGTAAACTTTATAATAAACTTCATAACAATAGAAGAGAATATTTGTACATCTTGTACCATAACTTCAATACTCAACTATGTTGTAAAATTGTTATACACATTACACATTTCTAGTTGTTAAGATTTAAATACTATTATATATCATCATTTTTATTTTTATTTATTTATTAAAGAATTACATTTTTTTATATTAAAAAATATATAACTTTAAGTATCATAACCTTGACAGAGTCAAATTTAACTCTAATTATTTTTACAACAACCCTCAAGGTTTAATAATTATTTGAGACACAAAATGCAGAAATAAATAATTCATTCTGCATATGCAAATATATTTGTACGTACACTGTTATTTGACCTTAAAAAAATACCATAACCTGAACACTAACAGCCTCAAATTTAACTCCAATTATTATATTTCGATAATAACCCCTAACCTTTAACTGCTACTTTAACATTTACTTAAAATACGAAACGCGAAATAAACAATTCAGTTTGCATATGTAAAAATATCGACACAATTTTTCCTTCACGTTTCTCAGATCCCTTTTTGGTGCATAGCCAAAGTCGTCCATTTTCGTAGATGAACGAGTTCGATTAACTTTTAACGTTGCGAACGAGTTTCGCGCAGTACTGTTCTTTACGATAATGCCTTAAAGTGCAAGTGTCTGGTTTTATTCGATAACTGGATTGAAAATATCACTGGCTAACAAGCCTGCAATATCTTTTGAGTGGTATGACGTTTCGAACAATCATGCTTGATGAGCCGTATGAATATTCATCATGTCGCTGTTAAAACTTTGTGTCGCGATATTTATGAATGTACACCGTAGTTACGTATTTTACAAATGACGCAAACTGTACCTATAAATAAGCAATGAACATTTTTTTTTGTCTATTTGATAAATCCCGCCATTTGTGACAAAACGGCGTTAAATCGGAAACTTAGTATAGTAATGGGGAAGATAAAGTCGATAATATTACAATTTGGTAAAAATAATGGGGATAACAAATGTACGTAATATTTTACACGTTTTGCGTTGCAGGAATATTTCGAAAATGTCGCATGTAGGTCACATTGCGTATTAATATTATTCTACGCAGATTATTCCAAGTTATATTAATAAATAATGTGCGGTAAAATTTCCAAATCGAAAAATTATTGGAAGTTTACTTCTACAAATTATTGTATTAGATTATACTATTTAACACATACATTTAATACATAATATTTTTAATGCAAAAATTAAAAATAATGCAGAGTTTTGAACTTGCTTACTCTGAAATTAAAAATGAAGCTAAAAAATAAATAAATAAATGATAAAATATAAATTAATATACACATTCATTCTACACCTTCATGGAGATTAGCAAAGACTCTAAAGAAATTGTTTTAATAAATTTTGTAAGTTAAAATGAAAAACTTGTAAGAGGGTCATTTGACCTTTCTGCTAGTTTTAGTGTTAATTTGAAAATTTAAAAGTAATACTATAAATATTTTATAAGAAACTTGAAAACTTTCAGTGGAGTAATTAAATTAATTTTTGTTTGTTTTCCTGTGAATAATTAATTTACCTTGTGATGACCATAAGAGTAGTATTTCAGACAGTGCAATATTAAGCAATGATATTACAAGCTTTTATCCGTGAAAACACTTAGAAGCAATGTTTCTTAGCAACTGGAATTTGACTAACAACATAATAGAGCATGGTTCCGATCTCAGGCAGAGTAAAGTGGAAAATTTTGTAACAAGGTAAGAATGTATGTGGAACACAGAAAGAGGCAAACATTCACGAGAAGTCAGTCTATAACTTTGTTCCACAATGGAAGTAGCACTTTCTGCACCGTTGAACGCGAAGGACCTCCTAAAATTGCTACGAATCACGAATAGAATAATGCGACACAGTTTACAAGCCTGCGGGCATTTCATTTGTGGTACAATAACTTCGAGAAGTAATTATCAATTCACGATAAAATGAATAACTGGTGCATAACAGCTCTTTTTTCATGACTGTACTGTTACTGTGTTTGCATGTTACTGTACAATGCTTTGTTATGAAAAACTTTTATTTTAGATTTAGATTTCGAAATTAATTAAACGTTGAAATCTTTAAAAATTAGGTTATAATTTATCCTTAGTTATTATTTGCGTTAGTTATAACAAAAATGTTATTTTATTTGTCACACATGTCACATTTGTTATTAAAAAATTGTTTAAAATTGCAAAATTGAACTTCTTACTGCCTTGTACATTTTGAAAGCATTGTACAACTACAGTCACTGTAAATTATATTATAATTTACTTTTAATTAATATTTGCGTTAGTTATAACAAAAATGTGGTATATTTTATTTGTCACACATGTCACATATGTTATTAAAAAATTGTTTAAAATTGCAAAATGGAACTTCTTACTGCTTTGTATATTTTGAGAGCATTGTACAATTGTAGTCACTATAAATTATATTATAATTTACCTCGAGTTAATATTTGCAAGCGTTAATTATGACACAGGTGTCACATATGTCGTTTGTCATACATGTCACACATTAGTACATATTCATATTTTATAGTCTATTTTCAGTTCTTAAAATATTATTTAAAATTGCAAAATTGAATTTCTTACTGACCCCAGTTAACATGTGCAGGTATTAGTTATGACACAGGTATCACATATGTCGTTTGTCACACATGTCACACATTAGTACATATTCATATTTTATAGTATATTTTCAGTTCTTAAAAAGTTATTTAAAATTGCAAAATTGAATTTCTTACTGACCCCAGTTAATATGTGCAGGTATTAGTTATGACACAGGTATCACATATGTCGTTTGTCACACATGTTACACATTAGTACATATTCATATTTTATAGTGTCTATATATAGAAACTATAATATTTTACAATTCTAGTATTTAATACTTGAGAGGTTAATGGGTTTAATATTTTAATTTCGAAAAATTTTTTGTTTAATTTTCAGAGAATGTGAAAAAGTATAAAATATCATATATGTAAACATACATGTTTCAAATCCTCAAATTCAAATTTAATATTGTAATTTATCCTACAAAGTCAACTATTATCACACTTGAGATGGAACTCTTGCTACTCTAGGACTAAACATGTTTCATAATTTAAAATTATCAAAATTATTTGACAATTAATGCATACCTCAATTAATATATTCTTCATCTGTCTTTCATAATTAAAAATGTCACATTGTACACAATTTGTATAATCTAACCTTCATATCTTGACCCAGCCTTGTTACTTCATTTCCATCACCCGCAAAAGTTTTCCCATATCATTTACTATATCGCAATTTTTCTCACTTACGCGAATAA